TTTTACTGCTGACAGGTGTTTGATTGAAATGAAGCAAGTTAGTGTAATGCACCATCAGCAGGAGCAAACAGAGCAACCCATTCAACACCACATTAGAAACAAACTGTAGATATTATTTTTCCACTCAGTWTGTCAAAAATGGCCACAATAATTTCAGGTTATAAAGGAGTACCACCGGGGCTGCCACTAACATTGGAAACAGGGATGAAATGGACATCACTGTATGTTTTTTATCCTCTTATTGACACATTTTAACCAGATAGTTTTATCCTGCTGAGTCCTGAATGTGTACTTTGGCAGGGGTAGACATAACCATTGTTTAGGTTGTCCGAGACMACCTATTTTCATTTCGGACAACCAGATCCTGTCTCCTGGTTGTCCGGTGGACAACCAAGAAAAAAAAGACCTTGATTCTCTGCCGCAAGTGTCCGTTATTTATAAAAATGAAAGAGAGAAATAACTTGGTAAAGCTGAACAGAACACAAATCTGTAACTTTTAATAATGTTATGTACACAGTATACTCATATTTAAGTGAAAATGTTTGACCTATGAGCAGAAAGAAGTTTATGAATGTTGGGTAAGCTCTAGATTTTATTAGCAACATTTTTGCTGCTTTATTCCCTGAGCCTTAAATACTCTATTTCAAAGAAGAGAATGAGGCAGTTTTATTCACACAGATCCTGTCAACCTGGCTGACTGAGAACAATTATATATAATAAACTTTGTCTACAGAACAATATACTTGCTAAATTACATTTTTCTTGAAATTCTTTTGGACAACCAAAATGTTTTACGGACAACCGGGTTTTGAAATATCCTTATGTCTATCCCTGCTTTGGTGTATTCGTCACATTTATGAGATTAGCAGAACCTCAAAAAATGCTGTTTTTGAACAATTAAAAGCTATTTTTTAAAACTTATTTAGAAAAATATGGCTCTTCTCCCTCAAAAAAGGGCTAGTGTAAACTGAACAGAATAAAACATTTTGATATGGTGTCTGGAAGTTAAATTCACTTTTTTTCTTAAATTATGCAATAAAAAGRGAAGAAAACAAGTTAAATATTTGCTGTAATGTACATGAGTTGTAATTTCAGCTGTAAATGAAGTCTTTTTTCTCTCATTGCAATATTTTAATTTGACAACATTCTGTTCTGTTTTTATTTTTATTTTTAATTTATTATTTTTTTTGGTGCGCCACCCCAAGATTGTCAGTGACCACTCATCTGGACACCTCTGTGAAAACTTTCTGGCGGCGCCCGAGTATTACTACATTTTACCACCTTACCTTTGCGTGGACACAAAATGCAAATAATGCTATCATCTCAGATCACCAGCTCAGCAGATTTCATCGACGTCACTTAACAATAACTCAACAAATGCATTCACACACACACACACACCTACCCACACACACACACAGAGGCATAGTTCTGTGCCCCTTGTCAATAGGACATTAAGGTTTTTGGCACTAATGACCAGTGTAGAGATAAGAGAGGAAAGGTTAATGTGTTGCTGTGGGTGATCAAGATAAGAGCGATCCCCTTCAAGTCTGCACACAATGGGACAGTGAGAAAAGGGAAGAGTAGACACACACACACACACAAAAAGAGACAGAGTTACAAAAGAAAACTTAAAAAGAAAGACAGGAATGGTCGTGTAAGTTCCCAGTAAAATACTGTTTATTATATCTGAAGTGTGAATGCTCTGTAAGATCAGTAAAAACACACAAACATTCACAAAAAAACTCAATAGCTCCAATAATCCCTCCTTTCAGTGAACGGGTTATCTATCGGCGCAACTCAAAAGACAAACCCTAAAATATACGAGCCTGTCTTGCATACAAAAGGACTTTATTTGGGTGCTTTTCATTGTTCAGATCAGGATATATGTGAGAATACATCTGCATTATGTGTGGGTTTATCGTCCCTTTTTTTCCCCACGAGTGTATTGTTAGCATCAGTGTGTAGGCAATTTGTTGTGATTGCTGTTTAAGTAGTTTTTCCAGCATTACCAGTGGAAGTATACATACGTGTCTGCATAGATATATGTGCACACACACACACACACACACACACACACACACACACACTCCTCCCTGTGAGGGGAAGTAACATAAAATTGCTCCCCACCTCCTCCCTCTTCCGTCTGTGTGGCCGGCTGGGTCGGCTGACATTTGGACACTTGTCAATCATCTCTTTCAATAGCCAAGCAGCAGGAAAAATGGAGTCGGGGGGTCAGCAACTCAGTGTATCGCCATGGCAACAACTGCACTGAAGTTCATAAGCCTGCTGGGCCTGTAAGTCTAAAGTGTGTGCGTGCTTGCGTGTGAGAATGTCCATTTTGTTTCTGGTTTTGAGCACGTACGTGCGTGCGAAGGTGCGCGCGTGTGTCCAATTGTTCCCCATCAGCCGGAGGCAAATTCTCCTCCCATTTGAGCTCTTCCACCTCTCACCTTGCAACCTCGCATGGCGTTTTAGCCTTTTTCTCCCTTCTTCCCTTGCTCGTGATTTTTTATTTTTTATTTTTTTGTAACCTCTCTCCTCCAACCAGCAGGTCAAGGAAAAAGGCCCCCGCAGGAAGTACAGCATCCAAAAAAAGAGAGAGTACTTAACCTTTCACCACCTCCGCCTCTTTTTGCCCCTCTGCCTCTTACCGTTTTTTTTTCCTCCCGTCTTGCCAGTGTGTGTTTTCGCCGTGATCGCCCACTTGTGCCCGGCTCGGAATCTAATTGTTTCCTCATCCGCTATAGATGTGCATTCATCTATTCAGTGGTGCCTGCGTTTGGCTTTTGTTTATGAGTGGGCGAGAAGCGTGCGTGTGTTGTCCCATATTGTGTGTGAGCAGTTCAAGCCAAAAAGCACAGGAAAACAGAGCGACTGAGCACACACAACACAGCCACAACAAACTATGTTGAGTCCGCACCACCGGTGGTCTGTTTCAGGACTGAATGCAGAGGATAATTTGTGTTCTCAGTCAGGGGAAAAATAGCTCCGATTGAGGCTCGGAGGACAATCTGTTGACCCGTTTACCGAACACTTATCGCAGAGAGGTTCACCAGCAGCATTCATCCCGCAGGAGCTCCAGCAGCCACACGCTGCCCATCTACGACAGCAGCCACAAAATGACGAGCCACAACTCACCAGATTTGAGGAATTAGAACTTTTGCTTTACTTTGATCAAAATAAACAGAGCATGCAGGATGAGAACTAGCCTACATTTCGTGTGAATTTCTTTTAGCGTAAGCCAGTGATATTACCAGTAAAATCGCTCTCTAATAGCTGTTTGATGTGAATTAACATGCTCCATTACCCCAATGTACCAACACTGCCAGAATCATTAGAGACTCACTGATACACACAGAAATACATGACACAGACACCAACGCTGCTCTGTCCAACTGCCCCCCCCCCAACAGTGCAAACACACACACACTTGCTCCACCAGTTCCCGGTTTCCATCAGCAAAGAGGCAAGGCTGGAATGGCGTAATTCTGAGGGATAATTTATGGATAATTTTGGGATAATCTCCAACAAACCATTCGAGGCGCAGCCACCCAGTTTGCCCAACAGCCTGATTACCAGGCGTCGAATGCCAGACACTTGTAGTGACCAACACCGCCAGCAACCACTCTGGTGCATGAAAATAAACAAAAACAGAACCAGAACTTCCAGCGGCAGGGGAAGGGGGACAACCCAACTCTGTCTGCACAGAGATTCACCAGAGAACTGAAAGGGCTCTCTCTCTCTCTCTCTCTCTCTCTCTCTCTCTCTCTCTCTCTCTCTCTCTCTCTCTCTCTCTCT